TATGCCCAATGATCTCCCAATTAAATCCCGTTTATCTCTTGGACAGTCTCTACAAGCAATTCATTGTCTCGTTCCAAGAGCTGCTCAAGAATGACATTAATGTCTTTAATCTGGTAAGCACGTGTCGACAGCATCAGAGAAAACAATAACTGATCTATAAAAATTCTTTGTAGTTAATGGTCATCATTCTATTCAAGCCTCGTGAAGCGAGCACTCAGAAGGAATATCTCAGGTAAAAGAGCGAGTTACATGGCTAACAGAGTTATTTTCACATCTGATTTTTCTTCACTAGAAACGAGTACCTCACATACCTGTACATCCTGAACACGTACCTTCGCCAAAAGTACCAGGACCGAAGCGAAGCTCAATCAATCTTTCTCAAGCTTCTGTGCAAACTGGAGGAGCTATATGCAATCAGTCACATCTTCTTCAAATGCTTGGATAATATCGACACTAGTCAGCTTACCAATTTCTTCAAGGAAGTTTTCAACATTAACTTCTGAACGAAGAAAGGCAATCACAATTCTCACCTTGAGATCACACCTTGAACCAACACATTCTACAATTATTAAGAACAAACTGTTTGAACAAACACACCTTGAACTTATCTTCTTAATCTTATTATTCACTCTTACGGCCAGTTATACTTGGGCCGATCATGTTATTATTATTATATAAATATCACTTTCAATAAACTGATTTGTGCAATAAAAATTGTAAATGTTAATTCAAGGTTTTAATTTTGAACCTCTTGAACATTAGAATTCTTGAACCTCGCAAATTAAAACTTCTCACAATGTGACATCAATTTGAACTTTTCATCATTGCAATGACATTCATTCAAAATCAAAATCCTATTTTTTAAAAGTCGGTTAGACGGCTATATCGACATAGTAGAGGTTTGCGCGGCGCTCTTTTGTCAGCGGCATTTTCAACAAACACACGCCGAAACAAGGCAAACATTGTAAACTCGTCTTGTCTTACAACATCTAAACCATCTTTTACCGGTATCTGGTTCACTAGTTAGTAGACCCAGATACTCTTGAGTATCACCAGATTCTCCAACTCTGAAGAAAAAGTTCCATCATGTCTTTTAATTACATTGTCACGGCTCAAAAGCCGACTGCTGTTTTCAATTGCATCTCTGGTATGTTTGTGGCTTTTTTGTTTTTGCTTTCTTTTTACTTACCTTTTTTATTGAAAACAGGCAACTTCACAGGACCAAATGATTTAAATTTGATTCTCGACAAACTTATGCGAATAGAAGTGTACCTTGTTACACCTGAAGGGCTTCGCTCTTTAAAAGAAATCCCCATCTATGGTCGCATTCAGATTATGAAAAAGTTTCGCATGCCCAATGAAGACCGGGACTTCCTATTCATCCTCACTTCAAAACATAATATACTTATTCTGGAAATTAAGCGAGATACTGAACGAGGTGACTTTGAAGTTAACACTCTTGCTCATGGCATGATTTCTGAACGTATCGGACATCCCGCTGAAAACGGTGCCATTTGCGTTATCAACCCTCAAGCCCGTCTCATTGCTCTGAGAATATACGATGGAATGTTCAATGTGATCAAGCTCGACTTTAAGTCAAAGGAGATTAAGGCATACAACATTCGCATGGAGGAAACCAATGTCATTAACTTTGCCTTTTTGAATGGATGCAAAGCGCCGACGCTTTGCTTGATCTACCAAGAGCACCAGAGTCGTCATTTGAAGACCTACGAGATCACCGATGAAAAGGAATTTTGTCGTGGCCCGTGGAAGCAAGAGAATGTCGAATCCGAGTCAAACATTCTGATTCCTGTCGATGAAGAGTACGGTGGTGTGATCGTCATTGGCCAAGAGTCAATTGTGTACATTATCAGCCAGAACAGCTACACTGCTATTGCGCCTCCAGGCATCAAGCAATCAAGTGTAACTTGCTACTGTCCCTTGGATAAGACGCGATTCTTGATAGGCGACATGACTGGAAGACTTTTCATTTTGTTTCTTTTGCCAACTTCTAACGAAGATGAAAGTGGCAAAAATGCTTCCGGGTTTGAGCTAAAGCTAAAATGCCTCGGTGAAATATCAATTCCTCAGAGTTTAACCTACCTGGACAACAACTACATCTTTGTCGGCTCTCGCATGGGCGATTCTCAGTTGATCAAACTAAACTTGGAAGCAAATGATTCGGGAAACTATATCGAAATCATCGACTCTTTTGTCAATTTGGCTCCCATCGTTGACATGATTGTTGTCGATCTGGACAAGCAAGGACAAGACCAACTGGTTACTTGCTCGGGATACTTTAAAGACGGTAAGCACATTACTGCACATCACTGTTGTTTGTAACACCTCTTCTTTTGAATCAGGCTCAATTCGGATCATTCGCAATGGCATTGGCATAAATGAAAATGCAACCATTGACTTGGCCGGCATCAAGGGCGTGTGGCAGCTTAAAACCAACTCTGATGTGTATGACAATATGATTGCCATTTCTTTTGTTGGCCAGACAAAGCTTCTGAGGCTGATTGGAGAAGACGTGGAAGAAACTCATCTCGAAGGCTTCAAGTGCCATGAGCAAACCTTGTTCTGTGGCAACATTACTCAGAATGGCAAACAACTCATTCTCCAGGCAACATCCGGCAGTATTCAATTGCTATGTCCTAAAGAAAACTGCGTTATTGACGAGTGGAAGAAGGCGCAAAGTATTTCCCTCATTTCCACCAATGAAGGGCAGATCATCTGCAGTTCTCGTTCTAATCTCTACTACTTGGAAGTGATTGACGGCAAAATTAAGCTCATCAATGAGTGCGAAATGGAGTACGAAGCATCTTGTGTCGACATTAGTCCGCTGGTGCAAAAGAAGAGCACGCTTTGCGCTGTCGGCTTGTGGAAAGACATCTCCGTGAGGTAATAGCCTTCTCAGTGAAAGCAAGGATGTGACATGCAGTAACCATTTTTGTTTTCTAGAATTCTGAGTCTTCCTGACTTGAAGTTGGTTCACAATGAAAAGCTCGGCGGTGAAATTATTCCGAGATCAATTTTAATGGCCCACTTTGATCTTACCAGTTACCTATTCACTGCCATCGGTGATGGTTCACTCTTTTACTACATTCTTGACAATGAGACTGGTACACTGTCTGAAAAGAAGAAGGTCATTCTCGGTACTCAGCCCACACAGCTAAAGATTTTCAAAACTAACTCTTCGGCAAACATTTTTGCCTGCTCTGACCGACCAACCGTCATCTACTCGAGCAATAACAAGTTGGTTTTCTCCAATGTGAATCTCAAGGAAGTGAACCACATGTGCACACTCAACTCAAGCGAATATCCCGAATCGCTGATTCTCACGAACGACAGTCAACTGTTGATTGGGCAAATCGATCAGATTCAGAAGCTTCACATTCGATCGATTCCACTCGGTGAAACGCCGCGGCGTATCGCCTACCAAGAGTCGACCCAAACTTTTGGCGTCCTCACAATGCGACACGACATTCAGGGAGAGGATGGCCAGGTGATTCCGAGTCGCAACAGTGCCAGCTGCCTGGCGCAGAACATCACCTACTCTTCATCGATCCCGTCAATAGTGAAGCCATCCAGTCTTAATCCCATTGCCGATCCTTACGATCTGGAAGTGTTTCATTTGCTAATCATTGATCAGACCACCTTTGAGGTCATTCATGCTCACCAGTTTATGGTGAATGAAGTCGCTCTGAGCATTACTTCTGCCAAACTTGGTAAAACCATTGCCACTATCTTTTAAGTGCTTTATTTACCTATTTTTTTTTATTTAGGCGATGACCCAAACATTTACTACATTGTCGGCACCTCGTTCATCAATCCCGAAGAGCTGGAGCCCAAACAGGGACGTATCATTGTTTTTCACTTGGTTGACGGCAAACTGCAACAAGTGGCTGAAAAGGAAATAAAAGGTGCTCCATATGTGCTACAAGAGTTCAATGGAAAGCTGCTGGCCGCCATCAACTCTACCATTCGCCTCTTTGAGTGGACTCCTATGCATGACCTGCACAATGAGTGCACTTACTTCAACTCGGTAGTTTCTCTCTTCATCAAAACCAAGGGCGATTTTGTCATCGTTGGCGATGTTTTACGTTCCATTACTCTGCTGATCTACAAGCCGCTAGGCGGTAACTTTGACCGCATTGCAACTGATCTCGATACTGCGTGGTTATCCTCCATTGATATGATCGACGATGACACATTCATCGGATCGGACAACAACTTCAACTTGTTTACCGTGCAAAAAGACACGTAGGTGTTTTCAATTGATTTGGCTGTGTACAGTTTAGCTGAAACTTTCATGCTCCTCCAACTAGGTCTGCTGTCACCGATTCCGAGCGCCAGCGTCTTCTCTCTGTTGGCTACTTTCACTTGGGTGATTTTGTGAACGTCATGAAGCATGGATCACTGGTAATGAATCACCCATCAGAAATGACATGTCCCATTCTCGGCAAGCCCATTCTCTTTGGGACATATTCCGGAAGCATTGGTAAGCTAGGCTTTGTTCTAGTTTTTTCTATTCCCTTTCACAAAGTACTTTTCCTTAGGTTTAATCGCAACGATACCGGAAAGCTTTTACAAGTTTTTACTTCAACTACAAGAAAATTTAATAAATGTAATCAAGTCAGTTGGTAATATTGATTATCAGTCCTGGCGAAGTTTTACGAATGAAAGAAAAACTGAAGCAGCAGCCAATTTCATTGATGGTGATATTATTGAGTCCTTCCTGGACCTTAACCGAGCCAAGATGGGCGAATGCATTCAAAAGCTGACGGTAAATTCTTTTTTATATAAACAAATTGACAAAACAATTCCTGACTAATTAAAAACCTTCCACAGATTGACGATAACGGTACCCAACGCCCAGCTACGGTGGACGACATCATTAAAACAGTAGAAGAACTTTCCCGCATTCATTAGAGTTCTTTTCAAAATAGAGAGTGTTGTTTAATAATGAAGTGGATCATGAATAAATGCATTAGTTATTACATCAGTGGCAGTGGAACGAGTGACCGTACGAAGGGAACTGTGGTGGCCACCTCGTACTTGACCTTCTTTGTCTTGCGGTCAATGCCGACCACCTTCCTTTTCAGTGCCTTTTTCTCATCTTTTCTAGAGGACGTCAGTGTCTGCACCTGTGAGCGAACCCTTTCAGCGAGAGAGTAGAGACAGTTGCGATTTTTCCCCGAATCAGTGTGACTGGCAATTTCAACGAGTGGATCGCAGAACTTGCTCACCGTATCCACGCGCATTGAGATGCTGGCCGTGAGCAGAATTTCGGTAAACAGTTGATTGAACATTTTGAGAATCGATCGGCGAAGGCGCTCATCGGTGATGGTGGAGAGTTTGCGAGCAAATGGAATCATCATGTGGTAGTAGACCTCCGACTTGTCGGTGTCCTTTTCCACCAGCTCATTAATGCACCTTTCCAGTTCATCCATGTAAATGTCGCACAGGTGCAAGAAGTATCCAACTGAACCGCTGGCCACGGTGACAATGTAGTCGATTACCAGCGATTTCCTCTCCAAGGTGGTCGTCGTTCCGTTTGTTTGATCGCTGCTTTTGGAAGTTGAAGAAGCGGCTTTTTTAATTTCACTGAGAAACGGGCTATTTTCAAAAAGAACTTTGTCTTCTAGTAAGGCGGCAATTTGCTGTTTGATCACATTACGCAGCAAGTGTCGCATCAGGAACATGTACTTGTCAATACGAAACGCGTCAATGCCGTTCCAGTCTTCAGCGAGCGATTTAAAACCCGACAACAAATAGGACTCGTTTTGGTATGAGCCCATCTCTTCAATCAGTTCTTCGCCACCTTTGCGCATTTCACTGTACCAGATTGCATAGTAGAATCCGCGCCACATCTTCATCCACTGCGTCTCCGTCAAATTGGTCGGACAGGTTTCCATTGTTTTCTTAATTTTGCGGACACGTTTGGCGTGAGTTTGCGGTGCTGAGACGAACTGCACAAAGTCCATCACAAACAAATCTCGGTTCATGTTGCTTTTGTTACTCATTTTTGGCTTGAAAATTGAAAGTTAGGTTGAAAAATAAATCAGAAGAAACAAAAATATTGTCAACTTTGAAATCACGTGGAGATGGGCATCGTGCACCACAACTGACTAGTGCAGTGGAAATGGCGGCGGTAAAATCAGCCTGATTCTGGCCGCGAGAATCAAGCCGGCAATCTGTTTACCAATTATTCAAATGGACCAAGCTCAGCCGCAATCCTCGGAGACGACCACTGAAATTGATACCACAGAAAAAGACCAGAAATTAAACTTCAAATGCCGAGATGAGTTTCTTCATTTTCTCAGCTGCTGCCAGGGAATGGAGGCGTCGATACGCATGTATGAGTGCTCCCGAAACTTGAAATGTCGAGTTGAAGCATTTGATCCTCAGCTAAAGTACATAGGAGTCAGTAACCTCACCACTCCCATCGGAGTTGAAAAGAATGCAATCATCCGAGCTAGTGACTTGATCGAGGTCAAGTACTTAAAAGAAGAATTATCAAGTTGACCAGTGTGACTTTATGCAATGTTTCCATTACAATAAAATGTACATATTTACATAGAGCAACTTTGTTTCTATCTTTGCTAATGATGACTGGGCTTGTGATCATCGACGTAGAAGTTCCGCGTTGCCGGAGGTAATGTTACTTCGATGTCGTCGATATCTTTCGAAAGAATTATCTGACAACCTACAAGGGCAAAGTTTAGATTCAAAATGTTCGTCAACAGGAAAAAAGCTTACTTAATCTAGAGTTTGACTTTAAAAATGGGGCCATGTCCAGCATGTCCTCTTCCTCTTCGCTTGCTGGTGGTAACTTGTTGTAGTAGTCGTCTCTTACATAGACATGACAAGTGCAGCAAGCAAGTGATGCCTCACAAGCACCTTCAATGTCAACGTTGTTTTGCTGGGCCAAATACATCACATTGTCGCCTTCTTTGCCGTACAGTGTTATTTTGTCTCCTTTTTTGGAGATGTAGTTTACTTTGATTTTTCCATCATTTGAGCTGCCAGAACTTGAGGGTTCAGAGAAGGACACGATGCTGGAGGATATGTTGCGTCTCCAAAATATCATCGATGATTGAACACAAGGTAAAGGGTATTGCTGTGATCCTTTAATTAAGTTCAAAGAACGTGAAATAGCTTGCCAGGCAATAGAACGAAGCATATTTTGTTGGTTCAAAAACAAAAGATAACTTATATCAAAAGGTAAGATTCAATCAAAATCAAATGAAAACAAAATTCAACGGCATGTTTCAGAAAAACAGATGATGCGATTTGACTATTTTGACATGCGCTGTTTTTGTACGATTGTACAATTTTAACCAAATTTTTTTTCAAAAAATCGTCGATAATTTATTTTTTACCCTAGTTAAATCTTTCAAACAAGACTTCACTTCCGTTATTGTTCAGGTTTTGTAAACTTTTTCAATGCAAATGACCTTATATCTTTGACCGATTAATTGACTCTAAAGTCCCTCCTTCACATCGGAATATACCTGATGAAAGATTAAAAATGCAGTCTTCACCGTCTGCGCACCGTCTTGCTCAATCATCGCTGACTAAAGTAAGTTGGCCATTGAATTGGCCACTGAAATGAGTCATCATCGGATCATTGACACTCTTCACTATCCGATTGTTTGTGGTAGAAGGGGTCAGCTGTTGCGGGAAGTAACATGCTTGGTCAAATAGTTAAAGGAAAGAGTACAACTGGTTTTTATTGAAATTAACAAAATGGTCCAGTTTTTCTGCATTTGTCGTATGTAACAGCACTGATATTTTGTTTACAGTGTTCCTTGTTGGCATATCAATCTGTGTGTGTGTGTGTAAAGATTTAAGGCAAGTTGAAGGTTAGCCAAAACCAGCTGGGCGCAATCGATGTCATGTTTGTTTGAGTGTATGTGATAAGACCAGAGAGGCGAGGAGATGCCACCTGTGTGATCACCGGCTGATTGCCGGTGAGAACGTACCACATCTGGAGAAGTCATGCTCCTGATTAGAGGCTCTTCTCTCGTTGAGACCGCAGCCCACCCACTGACATGACTGATTCTAGGCGGTTTACACATTTGCTATAAATTGATTGAGTCAGCTGCAGTGTGTGCTTTGCTGATGAGATCAAGCTCCATCTGAAGCAAAAGGACCACACCGTTCAAGGATGACACTGCCTAAGCTTACCCTTTGCCTGTTGGCACTAGTCCAACTGGGCTTCGCCATTAAAGGTTTTTCTTTTAATCACATCAACAAACGACAACATTTCTAACCAAGATCTACGTTTTCTTTAGAGCCAAAAGTGGCACCCTACGTGGACGTAACTCGAATGAGCGCTGATTACCTAGTGAAGGTGCACCACGCGACTGGATTGAGTGCAGTGACTCTTGCTTTCGTTCTCGGAGGAACGGGCGGCTGTGATCCGCACTGGGGCGGGGAAAGTGGCGTCGGCGATCCGAAAGTGCTCACTCCAATCAAAGAGTTTCAGAAGATTGGTGGCAAGGTGATCCTGGCCACCGGTGGCGCCATGGGACCGTACCTTGAGGCCTCTTGCTCATCGCCCGCCGCTCTTGCTGCTGCCTACAAGAAGGCACTGAACACTGTCGGAACTCACCACCTCGATATTGATATTGGTACTTGATTTGTACACAGCAGCAACTTTTTGCAACTATTACTTACCATTTACTCTCACTTTTTGTAGAGGCTTCCATCTCGCTAGAGAACATGAACTCCGCCTTGAAGATTCTGCAAGGAGAGATGCCAGACTTGACCATTTCCTATACTCTGATGATTCAAGGAGATGACTATGGCCTCACTGATGCCCTCGGCGTTGAAGTGCTTAAAAGCGCTGCAAAGTAAGCATGCACTGTAAAAAATTTGTGTCACGTGATTTAACAAGTTCTAAAAAATATTTCTGAAAATAACGTTTTTAGTAAGATACATTTACGAATACGTCATTTTTAAAAATATATTTTAGAGCTGTTAAATCACGTGTTCCAATTTTTTTACAGTAATGTGCTGTTTGAAGTTAAGTTTTTACTAAACTTTTTCGCTCATTTAGGCACGGTCTCCGGGTGGACATTGTAAACGCAATGACCATGGAATTCGGCAGTAAACTAGCCTCATGGGGTGATGCCGTCATTGCCGCTGGAGAGAGTGTTGTCAAACAGATGCAACTAGTGTGGCCTTCTAAGCCCGTCAGCGAACTGTACGCGATGCTCGGAGTGTAAGTGTATTTTAAGATTTTTTGTTCAAATTGGAAAACTAATCATTCACTTGCCATTTACTTGACTTCCAAGCACTCCGATGATCGGTCGCAATTACAATGGAAAAATCTTCGACATTTCCCATGCCAAGGAGTTGGTGGCTTGGGCTAAGCAAAAGAAGATCGGTCACCTAGCTTACTGGTCCCTAGGACGAGATAAGGGTTGTGCGGGGGGAGCTATATCGCCGGACTGCTCTAGCATCGCTCAGTCTGAGCTAGAGTTTGCCAAAATCTTCCAGAGCTATGCTGGCACTACCATTCCTGACCACTTCACTGATCCCACTCCAAAGCCAGACCACCACACGACGCACCATCACGGAGGCCACACTGACCACCCAGTGACGAGGAAACCACAGAAGATTGACTGCTCCATTGAGAATGCTCACTATCCTCATGAAACTGACTGCGACAAGTACTACTGGTGCTTCAATGGCACTCCTCACCTCGAGACGTGTGGAGCTGGCACTGTGTGGGATCCCAAGATTGGGGGCTGCAACTTTCCCAAAGACGCCCATCGTACTGACTGCAAATAAAATTTTGGGTTTTTGATGTAAAATACTACTTCGCCTGTTTGTATATAAGCAGCTACTCTTTGCCAATAAAGTCAGTCTGGATTACGTATGCTAGTGTTTACGCTCACTCTACGCTTTTCTAGTCTAGATTATTTATTATTTGAGATAACTATTTGAGTTATAGAAAAAGATTTTAATGTTTCAGGTTTAAACGACTACCAGTTTGACTTTTAGAAGTGACACGTTAACAATCAGTGAGAACAAAATTCAAGAAATCTGATGTAAAATACTATAGTTATACTTTATGTACACTTTAGTTCAGTTTTGTAAATAAAATGTTTAAAAGCTTTATTAAATCCTGCAATGAATCACGTGTTGATCCGTACATAAAAAAAGAAAAGCCAGGTGAATGGCTTGCACGCGAGAAAATGATGCAGTTTTCAAGTGTTTTCCCCCGAGAACTCCCTGACCGGTGATGAGATGCAGCTCTGCAATACTGAGTCTTTCCCACATTGATAGCGTTTCAAAGACGGAACAACGTCTAGTGATTGCAAAGACTATCTGCTGTAAGTTGTGCCAAACAGGTGCGATCACTACGCACTATAACCGATATTTAACTTTTGAGTTTATCCGCACACTTTAACAAATTAACTGATTAAAGACAAAAGTTAACTTGTCTGCAACTGTCTTGTCTGTAACTATTAAAGAAAGTAAAACTGAATTACCTTGTTGAATACCCTGAACGTTGAAAGTGAAGGTCGTTTTGCTGACACGACATAAAGTACTTTTGCCGAGACATAAACTTTGGAGGCACTACCCAGTAGTAGTGCAAACAGGTGACAATTGACTGTAAAAAGAAGCCCTTTTGTAAACGGAAACATTGCTAGTTTGATAGCACTAAAACGCCGTGTCGAACAAATCATGACTCGGTCAAAGACATTGCTCTCAACCTTCATCACGGATCAGCGACTAAGCGACTGTTTGGCGTTAGCAATGCACACACACACCTGTCAATCTGGTGCAGTAAATTGAGGATCAGCAACATTGGTTACACGCCGCACAAACCGTTTCCCTTTTCGGTCAGACGGGGATGACATCGCCCTTTTTGGACACTAAACACCAAGAACAACAACTCGATCAAAAGGAAGGAGACAAAGGGAGAAAAACAAGCAGACAGGCACCATTAGTTGGTCAGTAGAGGAAGAAGAAAGTGAGTGAACAACGGGAAAACAATTATACCGTGGCTCATATGAAGTATACGGCATATACTTAACAGGCAGGACACACTGCCGACTGTGGATCATAAGGATGGCTGTGCCCACGAAGGCGAAAACAAAGGCACCTGAGTGGCCATTAGCAGACTGTCATCGTGCCTGGACGTACGTGGAGAGCGAGCGCCGAGTCGAGTATCGCCATCGAATTAGACCGCTATCTATTTTGGTCGGCGCATCAGGCGATGTGCACTGAGTGCACGTCGGCGTGAGGGCAGTTGAATGTTGCAAGTGTGGCAACAAGGCGACCAGTATGTCTGCTAGTCGGCAGTATGTCTGCGAGTATGTCTGACTGACTGACTGCTTGCCTGCCTCTGTGTGCTTTAGTGGCGTCTTTTACCGAAGCACACCAGTGCACAAACACACACAGCCACTTGACGGCTATAATTCGTGAGCAATTTACCAATTAAACAAACACTAAATTACAGAGCAGCATTGTCAGGTATTGTCTGCCACTGTAATCAGTTATGCTAATTGAAATGTTTAGCGGCGCGACTGAAATAGCAACCGACAACAATGCGGACAAAGTAGTGTGAGTAGTAGTGAGCCTCGCGAGACGCCCGCCGACGTCCCGGCGGATCAGTCCAGCCGAAGCTAATGGTGAGAGTGAGTGAATGTGTCAGTGTGCCTCTGTGTCAGATAGAGAGAGTCTGTGCACCAAAACAATAAAGCCCAGTTTCTCCCTCGCAAAGCGAAAAGCTGTCTGCAGTGACTGCCTAAGTGGACGGATGCATCATCGACAAGATGGTGGTGTGACACTTTGATGCTAATTCCTGCTCAATCTGCCGCGTGTCGCTGCAAATCAAGTCGGTACATTGCGCACTTCGTCCAATTAGGCTAATTGGCCTGACAACGACAAACACTGCGGACTGGTCACGGGCAAATGAAAGAGAGTGCGAACACCGTGTCTATCATCACCACCTACAAACTCTGTCCGACAAGTTCTGACGGTGAAAAGGGAAAAGATGGACTTTGTCAGCGACAAGCCGGGACAGTTAGGGAACGTGTCGGCCACAGTTGGATTGTTTCACTGGAAGGAAGCTCACCTTTCAGTTGATAAGTTGGAACACTTAGCAGTTTAGTGGTAAGTGAGCACACAATTCACCACTTTGCCACTTGTCACTACAGTTGT